GGGGGAACGCTTATAGCACATGCTGGAAAGCGTTGAACGTTGAACTTCTTTTTCATAGAGTGGTTAGTTGGTGTTCCTCGAAAAGTGTGACGTGCGCTCGCCGCCGTCGAAGCTCGTGGATGTTATACGAGCTGCAATTCTGCTGAAGGCAACCTTGTCTAACGGTTTTGCACTTACTCTGTTGTTGCGATGGAAATTAACATTTTATGAATTTCAACCTGTTTTAATTCAATGTGAGGTGTATTTTCTGCGGCACTATTATTTTGCGAACCGTTATGGCGCGCACTATAATTAATGAGAGATTCGTATGAGTGACGTCACTCCCTCAGTTTGATGGAGGACCTTTTTATGGAGCCCCACCATTTTGGGCATTTTCTTGAAGGAGCTGCTCTTTGTAATGCATTGCCGCTCATCAATAAGGGGGCTCTTGGGAAGAGAATGCTGAGTAAGCACCCGTTCTACACTGAGTTCCTCACGTTACCTCATCACGTGAATCCATTTTCAGAAGATACCAGTTTTTTCTGCCCTGTGCACAAGTAAAACTGCTTAAATCCCTTTCGACTATGGCAGCGTTAGGAATACCTGGCGAATGTGGAATCTTGAAGGGCACGATGACGTTGCTTCGTCTGGCTCTTCTGCTATCGACTTCTGGTTAGATTCCATCACTTTGCTAGTGCACTGCTGCGTCAACTTCACACATTTCTCACGATTTTCCTTCATTTTTTTGCGCAGAGTGCAAACGGACTGACTTTATCTTTGTATTTCTTATTCTTTTTATTTGTTTCAAACGTTTGATTACATGTCACTTTACCAAGTAAGGTTTGCTCATGCACAACCTCATTCGGAATATGCTGGAAGGGCTTGGCCATCGATCGTGGTTTTTTTCCGCATAGGAGGCCCACGTCGGCCTAATTCGTTTTATGTGTGTTCAGCACATGACAAAAGCTTGTCGTGAGGCCATCACTCGAACATCTAGCTAATTTCCTTCTAGAGAGTGTTGTCACATATGGGCTGTTCGCGAATACTCAAGTCACAAACGGGGGACGTATGCTGCGCTCTTGCGACTCACACTGCATAATTGCTTCGGGGCCTTGGGCAGGGTGCATGTGCAGCTGCAAGTCAATGCATGAGCGGGAGGTGGCGGGTTATCATTCATCTGTCACCGTCTCACTTTTTGTGCGTCGTTATTTGCGTAGGTTAAGTTATTATTAGGCATAATCTCCTATAACTGTCGAACCGGTTGCTATCATATTTGGAAGAGTGTACTTCTAATCTAGTGAGCATCGGGCTTCCATTCAAAATCAACCTCCTACACACACATATTCGAAAGAGCGCCTGCAGGTGTTCTGACGTACTGTTGAAGAGAACGAAATCTATATCATAATGTTATGGATATTGTGGAGGGGAGCCTGAGGGAAGCATAGACAGTTTTTTTCGTAGGTTTTCGGGGGCGGGGCCTGCTTTATACTCCTATTGTTCGTCGATATTGCTATTTCGTGCTGCGGCGTAATTTCCCAAAGGCTACTTCGACATGCCATTTTTCGTTTACTGTTTCATATATCCGTTTTTTCCTGAGGTGATCTTATTTGCATCATCCTTGAAGGTGGCGGTTCGTTACGGAATTCACTTCTCGTCACTGTCGTACCATATTGGCAGATAAAATGCTACCAAGGAACTCACCAAACGAATAGGCATGGCCAGGGTTCGCAGAGTGTTAACATGGCGTTAAGCGTGAGCTGGGGAACTTAAGGGACAGGTCGGCTGAAGACACAGTCGTTCCATCTTTCTTACTACTTTGAGCTTGGAATGTCTAATATTTCGTAGCAGATACGTATTAGGATAACACCCAACGCATTTCGACACCAATTAGGTGTTGGGAAAATTTCGTGCTGAACTTTCCTTTCTAGCACCTAATTGTTTTTTCGGGACAGCTGTGAGCAGTTTGAAGAGGTGAAAGTGAAGTTGTAGGAGGGGCCATTCTTGCTCTCTTATCCTTAATTCTGATGAACGCTCTTTTGAGCTCTTCAACATTTAGAATTTAAGAAAATTTGTAAACGACTTATTCGAAGTGTACGTTTGATAAGGACAGGTGATTGTCCTACACTCCCACATTTTGCCCACAACCTACCCTTTTTGTAACTGGTCATACACCCTGGAGCTTCACCCCTAGGCCTAGCAAAGTATCTTCCTTCGGTTCAGGACTTTCTTGGGCCATTTCATGCACATGTGAAAGCACCCTCATTATTATCTCTGCACTAACGGTAACTTATCGACGTGTATTTTAATGAAATCCATTACGTCATGGAGTGGATGAAGTACTTGTGGCTATATATTCTGATTCTGGAGGTACCCTCTATCGGACTCTAGTATGCGCTCTAAGGTTATAGGGGGACATTCCTTTGGAACTGCCCAATTCTGCAATCTTTTTCTTGGAAACACTGGGCTCCGGTATTAGGGGTGGGGTACTTCAACAACTCAGTTTTAGGACGGCTGGATAACATTTTGTATCTATGGATTGAAACAGAATCATGATTAATGACCGTATATTTTCGAACCTGCAGGTCAGTGAGTTGTTTGATCATTTTTTTTGGAACTCACTTAGAAGACGCCAACCCACTACCATCAGGGTAGAGCTGGTCGCTGCCCTGCAAGATATAGAAAAATCACAGAAAACAACCTAGAACAAGAGAAATAGCCCTCTTTTCACCTGCTCTTCGCATACTCGTGTCTCATCTGTGCTGACCTCATCAACGCTAACGCTTTTTCTGCCAGACGGTTAGAGCGAGAGGATAGGGGATGGGCGGACACTGGCGATAGCGGCGCAGAGACGGCCATGCTAGTCACAGGGGCATATCCTTCACTGCGAATTACGTGTCGGTCCGCACCGGATCCATCTGTCTCTATCTTCCGTGTAGATTTCTCCTACTTCGACATCCGACCGTATCGTGGGATACTTCTTTGAATAAGAGGGAATCTTCATAAAGCAGCTCATGGACTTTTCTCTTCGCCAAAGGCTTGCCCTATAAAAAGTGTTCAGGATACTTGGAAACTGCAGAAGGGTGTGGGAAGCAGCTTCGGCAATCTCGATTGTTCAAATGATGAGGTACCGATCTAGGGCACTATGCATTAGAGTTGATTGTTAGTTTGGTGAAAATTAGAAATTGCGCAGTTTTCTTCGGAGGGGGGGGGGTAAATAAGTTCCCAACACAACTCCTTTCACGATTTTCAACACTATTCCATCCACGATCTGTAATGTCCATATTTTCGTTGAGAGTTCTCGAAATTAATTCGACTTTACGAAAGTCTGCCTCTTCCTCACAATGATGGCTCCAAAAATACGCTGCTTTCCTTAATAGGCCTGGCCCCTGCCCCAGTGTCCAAATACGATCCCCCCCCCCCCCCTTCCCCTTTTTCATGGACATTTTACTGAAGACAATTTCTTCTCCTTAGATCATTTTCGCTTGAACACGCTTCTTTCTGTGTATTGTATCCATGCTGGTAATAAGCGACAATCTGATCAACTTTTGTGGTGATCAGTCTTTCGAAAAGTAGAAGTGTGTAGTGCTACTCCGGTTGCATCGACTGATCTTTCACTTCGAAATCAATCACACCCAGTTCTTTCGCTTTTATAATGGTTGGAAGGGAGCACTGAGGTTCTCTTGCCCAATAAGAGCGCTCTTGTTACTGGAAACATTCAGAAATGATTCGCTGCAACCCGTTCCGTGTGTGCCATCAACCGCATTAAAGCGCTTCTCATTCTTTCCGGCTCGTTTTCATTGCTTTATGTCTCTATTCATCCTGGGCTACGCGTTCGGTGGTATTGAAATGTGGGTTCATTAGAACTACGCATTGCCAACATTCATTTTCCTAGTTTCCAAGCTATCTCTGGCCTGTTTTCACGGTCCCGTGCTAATTTCTGCTTATTCCACACAGTTGATCTCATTCTTCTTAAAGCAACAGTTCAAGAACGAATTCGCGGGCAAAAACCACCGATAATGAAGTTGTGGGTGCAAAGTTGACCAATAATGAAAGAAAAGTTCAAAAAAGACGTCGAACAGGGACTTAGACAGGGGCTCCCCTCGCCACTTAGCAATGGAGGAAGACGCTCGTTGGACGAGTTGTATGAACATGCCCGCAGTAAATGCGCCCCAATTGCAATAGCTGGCTACTTGCTAGCAATTGCCAGCTATTGCAATTGGGGCGCAATAATGGGATCGTTTCATGTTTTGCAGGTAGAAGGTGGAAGGAAAATGTAGAAATTCAGCGTTGTCGGCATCACTACATCGATTGCTTTAAAGGATCGACCTCAAATGGTCCCGGCGGTCCCGCAGCGACCGCCAATAAACTACGCGCTCTTCACAGCAGCAAGGGGGCGGCTCCACCGAGGCTCGGTGGACCCGCCCTTTTCGAAGAAGTTCGAGCCCTTCCTACGCATTTCAAAGGTAAGTTTTCAATTCAGTGACAGTTCCTATGAACTTTACTTGGGCTGGGGCATGCTTCCACACCTCAGGATTGAATTGGTTGAAACCCTCCTTGGACTGTTGCTTTAAGTTTCTTATTCTCATTCTTATAAACCAGTTGGCGCCGCACGCATTGCGCGCGCAACACAGATCTGCGGCGAATTTTGATGGTGCGACGAAAATTTTCAAATTTGGCTTGATACACCACGAATATCTGAATTCTCAGCTAAATTCTATCCGCTCCATCATCGACGGCTTTCAACCTCTTTTTCTTCGTCAACCATTATTCTCTTTTCCCGGTCTCCGGACTGCTTCCGGACAACAAATTCTTCTCGTGGCAAACTCCGCCTACTTCGGTGCGTGCTCCGCCCACCAATAGCATTTGGCCCCCTTCCTTTCGCCGACCTCTACCCCTTTTTTCACCGGTCTCTGGGACCTCTCTGGAAGCAGCTGATCTCTTTTCCCTCGCCAACCTCTAACCCCGTTTTCCCTATCTCTAGGACTTCTTGCAGCCGAGTTATGAATTTTCGTCGCAAACTCCGCCCACTTTGGTCAAGCCCCGCTCACCGGTGATAGCTGGGCTCCACTCCTCCACCCACCTCCATCCACCTTTTTCCCTGCCTCCGGGACTTCTTGGAGCCGAATTACAATTTCGGCGCAAACTCCGCCCATATTAGCGCACGCTCCACCCAACCGTAGCAGTTAACTTCTCTTTCTTTGCTGACTATATCCACTTTTTTCCCGTTCTCCAGGACTTCTTGGAACCAAGTTATGAATTTTCCTGGGTAACTCCGCCCACCTAGGACTTGCTCCGCCCACCAATAATATTCTAGCTCTACTACTTCAACCACCCCCATGCACCTTTTTCCCGGTCTCCCGGGCTTCTTGGAATCGAGTTATGAATTTTCGTGATAACTCCGCCCACTTTGGTCATGCCCCGCCCACCAATGGTAGTTGGCTCCACTCCTCCACCCACCTCTATCCACCTTTTTCCGGCTCTTAAGACTTCCCCGGCCCGAATTATGAGGACTTGTAGAAAATGCTGTACACTTCAGAGCGCGCTCCCGCCCATTGTGGGCGGGCCTCCGCCCACGTCATGTATGCTGGGAAACACCTTAGACATTGCTCCCCTACACCAATTTGTTTTCTGCTCTGTAGGCTTTCTCCCAACCGAGTTATGAAATTTTTCATAAAGCACTGCTTTTTTGGAGAACGCCCCGCCCACCGGGGTGGGTCTCCCTAATTCGATGTGACTTACCAATGCACAACCTTTACCCACTTTTTGGCCCAGTTTCAAGGTCGTTTTCTAAGAGATCTTAAAATCTCGGTCGTCAGTACACTTCATGTCGACGCACGCCACGCCCACTGTGGGCGGGGCTCCGCTTAGCTGATGTGTGTTTTGTACTTCGTGAGACCTTGCCCACCCGTCCCACACTTGACCCGGTCCCTCCAGGCGGATCCCGAGGAGCTAGGGAATTTCGTGACAGACATACAGAACGACAGACAGACGACAGACGAAGCGCTTTATAGTAAGTAGGATTTTTATAACAATCGATCAACTTATTTCCTTAAAGCAAACTACGCGTTGTTCTTTGCCATCGAGACCTTCTCCTGCTTAGTGAAACTTACGCTGAACGTCAGTGTAATGGCTTCGCTCAGAAGGTAGGCATAAGTTTTCAGTGTTTCCTTGTTGTGAATTTGTAGGCGCATTGAGAGATGCGTTTTGAGTTCTTCAAGCTACCTGAGGTGTTTTGTTATGAATATGTTTCCATATACTAGACAGTCGAAGATATTTTTTTTCTGCTGCTCAGTTCTTCAAATCTGCGTCATCATCAAAACGGAACTAGACGTGGCGTGGCTCAGAAAACCTCACCAATTAACTTTGCGGCGTAAAGGGGGCAGTGAAGCTGAAAATATTAGACAATCTTAAGCAAAAACGTATAGGTAAAGTAGGGGAGTCCGGGTAGGTATGTCGATAGGAATACGTCAAGTAATTTCGATGTGAAGAAAGGATGGTCAACAAGACAACAACAATGGATTGAATTTCAGCTCCATAGTGCAACATTCGTAGTTTCGCACTATGAAGCTTGAATTCAGTTCATTAATTGGATTTTTAATCGATTCTCAAGAAGCTAGCGCAGCGCAGTGAATGGAGGCACTGCATTTGGATTTGCACAGGATTCGACCCCGCCAGCCAATTCTTCCGTTCCTGCAGCGACATCAGATTTGCGTAAGAGAATAAAAACAGATAGATCTCTCAGTTGGATACCGTAAGCACTTGGTAGTACTCATTTAATTTTTCCCGCTAATCGATTTCGTGGCGTATGATTCCTCCTGAACCTATTGCCTTGTTTGGTTAAATTTTGTTTGTTACTTCCTTTTTATAGAAATGTTTCTCGAATTTGAAAAAATTTTCATGGATATTTCTCTAACTTTAATCTTCTCAAACTCTCTGATCTTGACCTTTGCTTTAATAGCAATTTTGCACAGTTCGAAGCATTGCGTCAGCACTGATGCTCATTCCCTACCAGATAAGTGCAGTGCGTGCGGAGGCAGCACTACCAGGGGAGGGAATTCGGGTGAGCACGTCATGATAGGGAATAGCGCGTGAAATCCGATATTCACAAATTTTTCGACATAGGACAGCGTCGAAGCGGCAATTTTGCTGCAGAAATATGCTGTCGTTCCAAAATGCTCTCCCACCAGGCCGTTGCTGCTGTGCTTAGACGCCCTACCCAGTCCTCGTGTTGAGTAGGTGACGATCCCTAATGCTGCTAAGCTATGCGCATGCTGAAGCTTCTCTACTTAAAAATTCATTAGCGCACTCAATAGGCTCTTTCAAACGACATACGCTCAGAACATCTCCGCTAAGGTCGTACCCGACCGCACTTCAACGTTATTGCGCCCTCCATCCGTGACAAGAGCTTGTTTAAATTCGGAGTCATCATTGACCCCTGGCAATCCTTTCCGTCATTCAACCTCCTTCCTTCACAGCATTTCGTGCTACTTTCCTGAGATAGCCGTCGTGAAACTGCTCCTCCTATCGATAACAGCTCTGTTAAGGGTTTACTGATGAGGAATGACATATTCCTCGTATCCAGCGTATACGGAGGATATCTCCATTGCTGGCTCGCTGTTAAGAGATAAAATTTCTGGACTATATGAATCGATAGTGAAAAGGGAGAGGCGATTTTCGAATTGCGAGCTTACGTCTTCGATGAAACTTCTTGTCAAGGTGGGTAAGGCTGACACTTATGATCAGTTGGAATTGCCTGATACTTGTTTTCATTTTCTTTTTGCAAACATTTTAAAATTTGATAGAAAAATTCCGAGGTGCTGCTCATTGATTTCTAATAGTAATCAGTAACGTCATGAATGTTATCAGGCGATTGGATATTTTAAGGACGTCTTATGTTGATATCTTCATTGGTCTATAATTTGGTTATATTTAAGAAGGTTCGAATAGTACTCTCATGTTTTTTGCTTCTTGGTATATAATCTTGATCTGAAAGTGGTGCACTAGCTAGTGGCACTGCTTACTTCGCACATGATAATGCTTAACGCTTAACGTTATCAAGTGCGTTATCGCACATGATACAGGAGGAAATCTCGAACTGATTTCTTTTCCCAACCAACCAAGCAGCTTTGCTCAGAATTCTGTCATTCGATACCAGACTGATCGAGGAGTGAAAACTTACATGTAGAGTCTCCGCTTTCATCGTGAAAGTGAAATGGCCTTCAGTGCCTTAGCTTCTGAGTGCAACTTAATGATTGGTCTTTTCAGAGACGGATTGGTCAATCTTTATTCCATACTCTCAATATTTTCATGTTCAATGTTTAATTCCATAGTCGGTAGGATGCTCAATAAAGTTCACCAGTATGCGATCGAAATCGTTAAGCACAAGGGTCTGATGTCGCACATGTAGCCTGCTTTCGCCGAGGCTGTCTTGCCGGGAGGAGTATTCGACAAAATTAATAAGTGAATCGCGATTCACAAGCGATTGAGTCGCTGACTGTAAATGCGACTGAAGCGGATGCCCTGGTCGCCATGTTCGGACATTGTTTTTTGGTCGAGGATGTTCTACAGTTCTTAGCTAGAGGTCAGACTCTGTGTTTTCTGTCGCGATTTCACCAGAAAAGATTCCTCGTGTTGAGTAGGTGACGATCCCTAATGCTGCTAAGCTATGCGCATGCTGAAGCTTCTCTACTTAAAAATTCATTAGCGCACTCAATAGGCTCTTTCAAACGACATACGCTCAGAACATCTCCGCTAAGGTCGTACCCGACCGCACTTCAACGTTATTGCGCCCTCCATCCGTGACAAGAGCTTGTTTAAATTCGGAGTCATCATTGACCCCTGGCAATCCTTTCCGTCATTCAACCTCCTTCCTTCACAGCATTTCGTGCTACTTTCCTGAGATAGCCGTCGTGAAACTGCTCCTCCTATCGATAACAGCTCTGTTAAGGGTTTACTGATGAGGAATGACATATTCCTCGTATCCAGCGTATACGGAGGATATCTCCATTGCTGGCTCGCTGTTAAGAGATAAAATTTCTGGACTATATGAATCGATAGTGAAAAGGGAGAGGCGATTTTCGAATTGCGAGCTTACGTCTTCGATGAAACTTCTTGTCAAGGTGGGTAAGGCTGACACTTATGATCAGTTGGAATTGCCTGATACTTGTTTTCATTTTCTTTTTGCAAACATTTTAAAATTTGATAGAAAAATTCCGAGGTGCTGCTCATTGATTTCTAATAGTAATC